TGAAATTGCAGTATTGTACACATCATGTAGATCAATCATTTTTTTCATATTCAGCATTATTCAGTATTGACCTAGCTCTCTAAATTAAACAGCGCTCTATGCATTACTCTCTCTAATTATTAGACCATTTGTCAAGCTTGGTTGATGCTTGCCTAGCCTGTTAGCTACATGTGCACATGTATGTTGTATGTATATTAACTGTGGTCTTATTATCAGCAGCTGGTAGTTGTTTTTCAAATGTACCCTGACTACCTGTACAGGTCTAAGAAGTCTATATTGGCTTCTTCTACGACAAATTCCACAGAAACTCTTACCTTGGTACCTACCCTATACTGTGTACTGGATTGACATTGAGACAAGTTTCCATTTTATGGTTGAAGTCACCTACAGTAATACTGATCCCTTCAAACCATGTACTGTACATGTACATGAATTGATAATGTACTATTAATAATACATGTACATTTTTATTAATTGTACGTTGTATTTATCACCTCCTCCTCCTCTCATTAGGTGAAGGTAGTTGTTCCTGATAGAGAGAAGCAGACCATTGATGAGATTTCCTTTAAACTGGACAAACTGTACAACGAGACACTACCACAAGTGGAACTGAACTCTTACGAAGTAAATTAATAATAATAATAGTAATAATAATAATGATAATAAATCTACCATGCCTAGTTATAATTGACCAATCAGATTGCTTGATTTTAAGTTAATAAATAACTTTTTGTAGGACCAATTTTTTGGAAATATTAATGTTAATGTGTATTGTCATATTAATCTGTTGTATTATCACTCACTAAATTAATTAATAGATTAATGAATGTGCATTAATTAGAACACTCCATTCTCTCTCCTTCAGTTTAAGTTTGAGAAGGTTAAGTTCATGGTGGAACGGACACAGGTACTTAAAGTTCGTAACATTGGTCACCGCCCGGTGCAGCTGGGGTTCAAACCAACCCCTGACAAACAGGACAGGATATCTAAACCATGGCTATCCATAAGACCAGATAAAGCACTCATACTAACATGTAAGACCTAACTGTACCTAATCTATTGTACATGTATACAGTATAGCCTCTCTTAATGGACACTCTCTATAGCGTACACCTCCATTTAACAGACAGCACCTAGTGTACCAATTACATTCCTTACTGTATAAAATAACCTCCACATAAAGGACACCTCTGTATAACAGAGACACAGTGTCCATTATATAGAGGCTAGTCTGTACATGTACATGTAGTCCGTCCTGTCTGGAGGTGTGTGTGTGTATAAGTAATGTAATACCTGAGGACTGAGATTTCTGCTTGATTGAGGTGAAGCTAGTGGGAGTAGATTAGGATACACTGTACATTCCATAAAAGCAGCAACAGCTGCTACTAGTACTTAGTAATCAATACTGACAGGTAGGAGTAGCAACTGTGGAATGTGTATCAGTAGTAGATACACACTTAACTAATTAATGATCTCTCTCTCTCTCTCTCCCTCTCCCCATCAGCTGAAGAGGTGTCCATTAATCTAACAGTTAATATAGACAGCGATCATGTGACTTCATTCAATAAAAGAACGGACAGTCTTGATGATATACTAGTACTGAACCTTGAGGGAGGGAAGGACATATTCATATCCGTCAGTGGGGACCTACTCTCAACATGTTTTGGATCTTCACTAGAAACCCTAATACATGTACACACATACGTCAGGGAAGTACCCACTGGCCAACTACTGGACCTTAGCATGGTAATGGAGATGATTATTATTATTTATTTATTATTATTTATATTTTTAGTCTTCATCGTGGGAGGAGTATGATTCTCAGGCCCTCTCAGTCCGGAAGGCCCCACCCCCATTAGACATACCAAAGGAACTGTACAGGCTAGTGCAGTACCTTTTAGACCACGGACTGAATGCAGTAAGAAAGAAATAATTTTACATCCTTATAATTATAGAACTATTGAAGTTCATTTTAGCATGTACTCTTTGTTAAGAAAACAATTTCTTGTCCTTATAATTAGAATTGATTGTATAATTAGAGTATATTATCATTATTATTATACTCCACAGACTGCTCTGTTCACTGATGGGGGGCTGTCTAGTGAGAGAGAGAAGATAAGAGACACACTGGACACTGGGGGGGAGGAACTGGGTGAGTGGGGCCGGGTCTTATACACACTTTAATTTCAGTACTGGGTCTGAGAGACATTAATTATTATCATTTCTCATCAGTTGGTAGTGTTTATTCAGTGGCTGCTGTGTTGTTGACATTTCTAAGATCACTAGAGGATCCTGTGGTACCAAGATCAGTCCATCAGAGATGTATGGACGCCTCCAACAACCCAACACTGTGTAGACAGGTACACTGCAGGGACTATGGACATGTACATGTACCATGATATACATGTGTATGTGGACCAGACTTGGGTCAAATACAATGCGGAAGTATTTAAATACAAATACAAATACTGCATACATGTATTTCAATTACAAATACAAATACTTTCTTCTCAAGTATAGACAGTTATTAACTACGTAGTTTTATGAATTAATCAATCAAGTAAATTGAAAGCCTCTTTTTATTATGCATGCATGTATAATCAATAATATTTAGTTATAGTCATGTGTTGCATTTAGTGAACGTTAGTGTTTCAAAGTTTTGTCACTCAAACAGCATCTTCATCCACATTGAAGTATTTTAAAGTATTTTGCTGTATTTTGAAATACTTCCCTGCTGTATTTCAATTGCAAATACAAATACTTCCTGTTACAAAAACTCAAATTACAAATACAAATACAAATACTTTCAAAAGTATTTAAATACGACTAATTACAAATACTATTTGTATTGACCCAAGTCTGATATGGACGTTTACCTACTTGTACATTTACAATACATGAGTTTATTAAATACTAAATTAAAGTGATATTATTATTGTTGTTGTTGTTGTTATTATTATTATTATTATTATTATTATTATTATTATTATTATTAGGTGTTGTTGCAGATGGCTGAGGTTCACAGAAGGTGTTTTGTTTTTATAGTAACATTTCTTAAGAAACTTTTGGAACATTCACAAGAAAACAAAATGGACGCTAAAGTATTGGGTAAGCATCAGTGTACTTTGGGACAAAAATCAGACCAAAGTCCATCTACTATAATATAGGGACTTTGGTCAAAATTCACCAAAATAAATAGGAGAGAGTTCTGCACTTTTATATTTTTTTCTGATGCATATACATGATCTTATATTGCATAGAAAGTTTGAGCTGATTCTGATCAATTTGGATTTTTAATTTGCCCCAAAAGTTGCCGCTAAAGTCCTGCATCAATGTACTGTTACATTTATAGCATCAATGCACTGTTACTATTTATAGCATCAATGCACTGTTACTATTTATAGCATCAATGTACTGTTACTATTTATAGCATCAATATTTGGTGAGGTATTAATGAACTCTACAAGAGAAGAGAAGCTGTCAAGGAACAAGAAGACACTGTCTCAAATTAATAAGAAAAAAATGACTTTCCTTTATCAGTTTCTAGCCAATGACTTGACTGTTAATTATAAATAATAAAAAATTATTATTATTATTATTATTATTATTATTATTATTATTATCATCATCATCAATGCCGTGAGATGTTTTTATGACAATTTGTAAAATATGAAAATGAATTAAGTGATGGATTTTGTTGCCATTTGTTTGATCCAATCAAGTCAGTCCATTATTGTTTATTTGTCTGATGTTGAAATTATTTATGATAACACAAGCTACAGTGTACATTGCTACATTAAGTGAGTGCAGTGTGTGGGTATGTCAGGTGAGGTATGTATGGTATGTTATTATTGAGTTAGTTATTATTAATAGTGTAGACTGTAGAGGCTGTTTACTGGAGGAGATGTCATCAAGTAAGTGACCTGTTCTTATTCTCTCCCTTACTTTACTCCTCTGTATCCTCTCCTTATTATAACTATTCACTATATTACTGTGTCCTCTTGTTATCTATAGTCTATCAACCAGTGGAGAGGAGGGATCACTCTACAGTACAGGTAGGAGACTACCTGTACATGTGGGGTGGGAAACAGCCTGATCTCCCTGAAGTACACAATAATGAGAAGAAGAAATCAATGTGTTCTGTAGTGGAGGTCTGTCACCTACCAACTGGTGAGTGGGTACAAAAGCCTACCACTGGTGACCCTCCACTTGGTGTCTATGGATATGCTGCTGCTGTCATTAGAAATGAAATATTCTTTTTTGGAGGCTATTGTGGTCATAGTGGCTGTTATCATAATAGTTTATACAGGTAAACATAA